TGTGTAGCTAGACGGGGACAACTTCTGCTCTCTCTTCCTTCCTCACTTAGCCATACCGTCCGTGATGGCTACAAATGCCCCAGCTTCCCTCTCTCCTGGCTTCCTCTCTGAGGAATGAGAACTCTGCGCTGTTTCTGCATTCACTCAGGGCTTCTGCTTCTTTCACCAGGAGGCAGGGCTTACAGGGACCCTCCCTGCAGCTGACAGCCCTGTCCCTGAGCAAGTCCTCAAAAACTGTCATTCTCGGCTCCAAGACCTTCAAGGTCCACCCAGCCCACCCAGGAAGCCTCCAAAGAATGCCCCAGTGCCCACCAAGCCCTCTTTTCCATCTCTGACTGGGGTCTTTAAGTAGCCTGCAGTTCCCCGAAGGCAGAGCCCACACTTTCTTGTTACTTTTGCTCCCGTGGGGTTCAAAAAGAAGACTCCTGCCTAAGTAGGCAGACCTAACGGGAGGCCCCTCTGGCTAGACACCACTCAGCACATGGGTTTCCATTTTAATACACCAGTGCTTTGGCATGTTTCTAGAATGGGGTGAGGCTAGGCAGGGTGTTCTTTCTTCCTCTCTCCTGGAAGATACTCAGTGGAGATTGGCACTGCTGATCCCCACAGGGCATGAGAGCCTGAGGTCATGAAGGCAAGGTGGGCCCAAGGTGCACCACAGGATTCCGCAGGAGGAAAATGGGCCGGCCATGTCCTAGAGGGAGGGAGGGGAGCCTGCTTGGCAGTCACAGATACCATGGGCACAGGCAAGAGAGGTGGGGCAGGGGAGTGACAGCGGGCTTGGGAAGAGAAGAGGGAGGGGAGCAGGGATGAAGTCCAGGGAGAAGAGACAGGGAGAGACAAAGGGAGGGAGAGAGTGAGAGACAGAAGTTGGAGAGGGAGAGGGACATGAAGACAAGGACACAGACGCAGAAATTAAGAGAAACAGGAAGTCAGGCACCAACAGAAAGAGATGGGGAAGGTACACTCAGAGACAGACAGGAAAGACACGCAGACCACACATACAGAGGGACACAGGGAGGTAGAGAGAGGCACACAGAGGTAGCTTGGAGGAGTCTGTGGAGTGGGGGAGATGGGAGGAAGATGGAATTTACCTGCCTCCTCCCACCCAACAAATCTCTGCTGGGCTAAGCACTTCGACTGAGGCTCAGCAAAGGGGTGGGACTTGCCCTAGGCTATACTGCACATGGACATCTAGGGCTGCCGTGGGCTTCTCAGGATTTGAACCTGGGCTCTGGGAATGCTGGCAGAGGCCATCTCCCACCGCAGATCCTGCCCTCACGGCTGCCTTGTGAAGGTGGTGTGCGTGACTCAGATTCCCCCAGTGATGCTGCCCCAACTGGTGCCCACAGAATGGAGACAGCGGAAGCCCTCCAGGGAAGGCCTCAGGGCTTCAGATCCCAGGGCAGAGGAGGCAGCAGGGCTGTGGCCCAGATGGTGGTCAGGGCTGGTGGCACTGGAGGGGTTCTCAGGGAGGGAAGGGGTTCCTCATGTGCCAGCTTTGCCTTATGTTCTTCGCCGGGTGCCCCAAATGTGGTTCTTCAGTGCACTCGGTGGTCCCACAATCTCCCTAATAAATATTCTTTTAACAAAGCCCTTCTCTGCTAACCTGGCAGAGCTACTTCCTGAGAGGCTACAGAGCCTGGATTTGAATCCTTGTTGTCATGAGAAAAGTCACTTAACCTCTCCTTGCTTCCGTCTTCCCAGGTGTAAAATGAGGACCATCAGTAAGTTTCTGGTTTATGAATGTGTGAGTTGTGAACTTTCACCAACGGACCTAGCATGATGTATGTTCTGACAAATCACAAAAGTAGCTCACGTGTCCGCTGGACCCTGTCACAGTTTGCCGTCGTGTGTTCACTACACAGTGTGATAGTGCACAGCAGTACAGAGCCCAGGATGTTCTGAAGCAAGAGGAAAAGCGGCGGTGACGAGGAGGTTTGGTTTTTTATGCTTTACATTGCATATTTGTATCAAAGGTGTATAAGACTCACTTTGTCGGACATATAATGAATCTGACTTATAAACTTTCTCCCAGAAGGGAACTTATCTGTAAGATGGGACTTACTGTATATTAGGTCTCTGTTATAGGGTGGGGGTAAGGATTACGTGATTTAGATGACACTAAAGACACATGGAGTCCTGGTTTGATGCAGGCAGCACTGGAGGGGACACACAGTGTTGGTTCTGCGTGACAAGTGTGTGGGCCTTGCACCCCCCACACTGCTGTACCTGCAAATCGTCTCTAACTGAGGCCAAGGAAGGCTCTGGGCTGCCCTCCCTGACTGGCTCGCACATGACCTGAGACCTGCCAGGTGCCTTCCTTCCACCCAAGGTGGTCCCCGGGCCTCCCTACCTGGCTTGGCTTCCTGGGCACCCCGGCCCAGGTGTCCCTCCAACTCCTCAGAGTCAGCACAGCTCACAGTGTTCCGCACCTTCCTGGGCACCTGTGTTGAGACCCAGACCCTACCCCTTGTCAATTCCAGTGCCCGAGGTCACCTGCAGTGGTGCCCTCCTCTGCACCCACAGCTTCTGCTCCACCTCAGGGCAGCTCCAGTCGCCTCCTTACCACCCCTCTCCCTTGGGAGAGCTAGATACCCACAGAGCAGAACTCCTCACCCACAAGCTCACCCAGGCTCTCTCCTGCACTCATCGTGAAGGCCTCTGTGGCACTGTGCATCATCAGCCCTCCATGTCCTCTCTGTTCTCATCTGATGACTTCCTCTGCACCTACTGCATACTCATCGACTGAATCCAACCTGCCCCAGAGGTGCAGCCCAAAGGCCTAAGTTCACCCCATCGTTCCCTTTCTGCCCCTCTATGGCCTCCTCCCAGCCGAATGTATCACTCCAGGAGATGTCCAGTGTTAAGAATGACGGCTGAGAGGTTGCAGGGACCACTGCCTAAGTTGTTCTCCCCACTGGGCAACTCTTGTCCTCCGAGGGTTGAGGCTTCAGGGGGTGTCATCTGCAGCATGACAAGATGGGGCAAGAAGAGGAGCCTGGACCCTCCTGTGCATCTCCCAGGAGTTCTCTCCTCTCCAAGTCCTTCTTTCTAAAGGCAGGATCCCAGTGAAAAGGAAAACAGAGGAGGAGGAAGCAGCTGGCTGGAGGTAGGAGGGAACTTGATCACACATTTCCATCCCTGAGCTGCCTTGGATCTTCCCACCTGGGGTGACTGAACCCTCCCCGCTTGCTCTGCATGATGGAGATGGCAAAGCTCCTCCTGTTCCTCAGGAGTTAAAGTACAGGCAGCACAGTGGCCCTCAGAAGAGAATTGTTCAGTAGACACCAGGGTTTAACTGCCACCACCTTGACCACTGAGTTGATGTGAGTGGTCTGGTATGCACCCTTCCTGCCCTCTCCATTCTCAGAGGCCCCTTATTCTCCTCTGTCAGGGCATTTATTGCTGTGCTCATTTTGTCTACTGCACTTGTGAGTAACGGCCTCAATACAGTGGATGCTGCAGCTGGCATATAGTAGGTATTCAATAAATTGGCTGAATAACAGTGTGCTTGGCTCTGCTCTAAAGAAGAGACACAGGCCCTATACATGGCAGGGGAAGTAGAGGGTTCTAGGCTTGCTGGGGAGAAGGAACTACAGACCAGGCTGGGGTACAGCTGAGGCAGAGCTCCCTTAGACTCCAGGATCTGAATTAAGAAGCTTCACTACCCCACCTTGCCCTGATAATCTTTAGTGTCGGGGTCTAATTTGATCTCCATTGCCCCACTGCACAAAGCTCACAGAGCAGAAAAATACAGTTTTATAATCTTGGGACTTGGGAAGAGCAGGGAAGTCACTCCTTCTGCTTGCATCCCTCCCAGGTGGGGATCTAACTTCCATCTAGGGAGATCTGTTGTTACTCATGGACAGGAAGCACGTTCTGGTTGATGCTGAAACCTTCCTGGGCAGTCTCCTCCAGCAGCGGCCCCTTCTGCTAGGAGCACCTTGCCCTGGATTCCTCAGTGCTGCTCCCTAGGCTGCCAGAGCCCTCAGCTGGTGCGGTCGGGGGAGTGCAGCTCAGCCTCACCTTCTACCCATTCCTCACCACAGGGGCCAGGCTACAGCCTTGGAGAACCTGGACAGGCACTGAGCACGCACGTGTGTATGTGTGGTGACGGAGATGCTGTGAGAGGGCTCATGGGGACAAGGGCTTTGGAACAGCCAGCCATATAGTCTCAGGGGCTGCATATGGGAAGGTGGTGTTCAGGTGGGCCAGACACAGGCACCTACACACACAACACACACACACACACACACACACACACACACACACACACACACCCCTCCAGAACCAGCCCCAACTGGACACCCCAGCTGGAGGCTGGGTATTTCTAGGGGCATCTGCTGACCTCCCCACCATCAAGTCAGCCTGGGATTTGGCAGAGGGAAGGAGGGCACGGGCCGTTCTGCCTTGGCTGTACCTAGGAGTGACGCTGCCCACGGACCTGAGTCACCACCCTTCGGGCCAGTCTTGGATACCTGGCTAGGAAACAGATGACATCCCATACCCTCTGCTCCGCAGCATCTATGATCTTCAGGCTCACCCCATCTTTCCTGCCTTCTGCCTTCCTCCTCTCCTTTCCAATAGTAAAGAATCTAACCATGGCCCTTATCCTGGGCGTGCAGGGGTTGCAGACAGTGCTTTGTTCCTTCCAGGGTGGGGAAGCATCGTCTAAACAGAGATGGCGCCCCAATGGGGGAATTTAAGGCACTGGAGCAACAGTGCAGGAGAGAAGGTGGTCCCTAAAGGGAAGAAGTGTTTTCTTTTTCTTGGCTGTCTCTACATGGAGCACAGGAATTGTAGGCAAATCCTGTCTTTCTGAGGCATCCCCAGCGCTGCTGGGGATAGGGACAGAAGGTGCACCCCAACATTAAGGGGTCCTCAAGGCCAGTGCCCTTAGCAGGCCTCCCACATAGGGCTCAGAATCCACCCCAAACCTGAACAGCCTTCCTGGGGGCTGGCGTACAGTCCGCAGCCCAGGGTCGAGGGGCACTCACGGGTCGTGTTGTACTTGATGCCATTGAAGTACTCGGGGCACGGCCTCTCCACAAGGGCTCCAGCCGCGCTCCGGGGCCAGCAGGTCCCGATCTGGTCCAAGGTTGTGTTGCAGTAGGAGTAGGGACCTGGCGACGGGAGAGAGCAGAGCAAAGCTGGAAGGGTGGCTGGGACATGGATGTCTCGGGACTTGGGGCTCCGGCGCGGGAAGCGCGGGACCCTGTGCGCGCTGAAGACGCCGAGGAAGAAACACGCGATGTCTGTGTCCGATCGCCACGCGCCTACCCTCGGGGTCCAGGGGTGGCCCCCAGCTGTCCAAGAGCAGCTCTTCGGCCAGCGCCAGGCTGCAGTTGGCCTCCAGCAGGCTGTGGAACAGTGCCGCGTCCATTGCGCCCGGAACCGAGCGCACCGATGGAGTGAGAACGCGCGCCCGGCGAGGCTGCGAGGAAGCAGGTACGAGAAGGTGCAGCCGAGGGAGCGCAGGGTCCCGGCCCCTGATCGCCTTGCCCCGACCTTCTGCGTCCCACCGCCTGGAGCTGCCAACCCAGACCTTCCCGG